GCTTTTTTCAAAAAATAGTCTTACCGTTTCGCCCATAATTCGCCGAGTAAAGGAATCACGAAGAAAGACGAAATTATCCAGTTTTGTTAGCTGACCACTTCGTGAATCGTACTGGTACTTCAGTGCTGGTAATCGTACTGCATTATCAATGATCGTCAAAGATGTTAGCCGAAAGTAATCATCATATTCGTAGAAATACTCTAACAATTTTTCAGCAAATCGCCTGTAAACACTTTTTTTTACTGTAGCTCGTTGTTACCTCACATTCTTAACATTTTTGGATTTCTTAGTCAAATTTTGCTTATTCACTTTCATCCCAGCTCAAAGGAGTAAAAAAAAGCGAATTCAATCTAATTTATCCTTTCTTGCTTCAAGAAACAATGCAAATCAGTGATGTGTGTACACCTCTTTGAACGCTAGTGCTTTTTTGTTACCACTATTAATACTAAGTACCTCTCAATATGCTATTCTAATGCAGAATAATAACATATTGCAGGATTACCGATTTGCATGCGAGACAGCTACATGCGCTTCACGGATTACTGACGGTAGCACACTTTGCCAAAGATAGGTTCTTTTAATGTAGCTGTTGCTAATTTCTTGCATCTGAAAAAACTTTTTCGGTGTAAATAAAGCTACAGTACACGATATACCGGCAAGTGATACTGTTCTCATGCAGTAGGTCGACGGTTCGACTCCGCTACTGGAGAGCTGTTCCCTACATGGTTTATTCATTCACTTCGAAGGCAAATTAGTACTTTACGTGCCTATTAATTAAAATTATCTCATCCGTAAGACTTTAAGAAATGAAAGCCAAAAAGTGTCTTGTCGCGAGTGATTGCTCCTGGGGCGTGCTCTCACTTGGACTATTCCCGAGTTCACAGATTTCTCAGAGACAGTGGGCTACGAACGGAGGATTTGTTTAAATGTAATCTAAATAGGACAGCCATGATCCATGAAAGGAACAAAACGAAGGCAGGACAGGAAGACTTTTTTTGCAAAATTCTACTTAGGGTTAGCAAGCTTCTTCGTCAAAAGCTAAATCTGCTAAAAAAAACAAGCATCAGTACCTGTGTACCTAAATCCCGACTTTTGTATTTCACGAAAGTAATTTCGGCATCAGCGCTTATTTGCGTTGCTCG